TGGGTTTTCTTTGTTTTTTTTTGTTGTGTTTTTTTGTTTTGTTAATCCTCATCCAAGGATATTTTTCTATTGCTTTTCTGAGAAAGCGGAAGGGAGGGAGGGAGAGAGGGAGGGAGAGAGAGAGAGAGAGAAACATTGATGTGAGAGAAGCACATCGATTGGTTGCCTCCCGCATGCGACCCCAGGCTGGGAATTGAGTCTGCACCTGAGGTACAAACCCTTGACCAGAATCGAACCCTGGACCCTTCAGTCCGAGGGCCGACGCTCTATCCACTGAGCCAATCCAGCTAGAGCTGCAGGTTAGTATTTTTAATAGACTGATGGGGAGAGTGTAGGTGACGAGGCACAGGAATGTTGTCATTGCAGGAAAATTAACGACCATAGCTTGCTGCTTATGAGTTAATAGCATTGTTTTTTTTGTTGTTGTTTTTTTTAAAATATATTTTATTGATTTTTTACAGAGAGGAAGGGAGAGAGATAGAGAGTTAGAAACATCGATGAGAGAGAAACATCGATCAGCTGCCTCCTGCACATCTCCTACTGGGGATGTGCCCGAAACCCAGGTACATGCCCTTGACCGGAATCGAACCTGGGACCTTTCAGTCCGCAGGCCGACGCTCTATCCACTGAGCCAAACCGGTTTCGGCGATAGCATTGTTTTTATATACAAACGAGCACTTAGGTTCAAGGAATGTGTCATTTCAGTCAGGAGAGACTCAGGAGCAATTTTTAAAGCTGAAAGTTACGATTCGGGGTAGAATCCGTTCACAATTTAAGGAGCCGATGCAGAAAGCCATCTCTATAATGTGTGGGGCCACTGCCCCTCCCCGAGATGATAACTTCTATCCGATGGATTTAACACACATTTTAACAGTTTAAATAGATAAGCGCCTGTGAACAGTTTTTTATCTAAAACACTAGTTTTTGAAACTGTTCCTGTATGAAATAAAATTCATTGACTTTGGGTTGATGTGGACCTTTCTGCCTCTTGTTTTATTTATTTTATTTTTTTAATTGTTTTATTGCTTAAAGTATTACAAAGAGTATTACACATGTCTCCTTTTTTCCCCCCGCCCTTGGCAATCCCCCGGCCTCCCCGACCCCCCAGTGTCCTCTGTCCATTGGTTATGCTTCTATACCTGCATACCACCTCATGTTTTATACGCCTGGTTCTCTGTGTGGGGTCCCCATAGGGGAGCCCCCTGACCCTGGCCCAGTCTCTTCATCCGGCTCCACCCTTCCCTCTACTGAAAACCGAAGGTCGCTTCCAGCTTTAAGATCCTTATAATGAAATGTCCACTTAAAAAAAATAAAATCAATTTTGACAGTACTTTTGTTTTTCTAGTGTGTTTTTTTTTTTTTTTTTTTTTTTTTTACTAGAGGTTTGGCAGTTATTTAAATAGGAAAGTGCACACTTTACATATACATTTATTGGATATGTATTACTTTTGGTTATTACTAAGCGTCGATCCCTGACCTCTCCCATTTCTAATCCTCAGAATATTCAGATAGGAGTTTCCTTTTACCCCTGTTAGGTAATTTTATAGCCAGAAGCGAAGAATTGCTGCAGTGGTTCTCAGCCTTCCTAATGCCGCGACCCTTAAATGCAGCTCCTTATGTGGCGGTGAGCCCCAGCCATAAAATTATTTTCGTTGCTACTTCATCACTGTGATGTTGCTACTGTTATGAATCATAATGTAAATATCTGATAGGCAGGATGTATTTTCGTTGTTCGCGACCCACAGGTTGAGAACCGCTGCAGTAGGTGTGAGGCCCCTTGCTATGGTAGAAGCAAAGAGAAGGCCGACAGGGCAGCCCCTCAAAAGACATCATTTTGTACCAGTGTTCCCAGTACTTAACTCCCTCTAATCATTTATGTCAGGAGTTAATAACCCTTTTAATGATCCAGCTCTGGGTGTATCATGTAGCCAGCGGGCCACGGTGAGGTCTTCAGGCAGTTTCATCAGCGAAATTTAAAAATGATCTTTGGATTCTTGTCTGAAGGGTTTTGTGGTTTCTTTGTTTGTTGCCTGCTTTTAATGGTGCAATGAGTCTTGTCTTGAATTATGTGGCCACATCCTGTGGCGTTTCCCAACGTGCGTTCCTCTGGATATCAATACACGCTACTAAAAAAAAAAAAAAAAGCGCCCTGTGTGTGCAGATACATTTAGGATTTGCTGAGATGCTTAGTATGTTTATCGTCATGTTTCAAGAGAAAGACGTGGTCTGTAGAAGTTTCCCAACTTACTGGACCAAAGACTTTTTCTTTTTCCATCTTTTTTTTAAAAAATATTTTTCCAGAAGTTCTTTTTTATATATATATATATATTTTATTGATTTTTTACAGAGAGGAAGGGAGAGAGATAGTTAGAAACATCGATGAGAGAGAAACATCCATCAGCTGCCTCCTGCACACCTCCTACTTGGGATGTGCCTGCAACCCAGGTACATGCCCCTGACCGGAATCGAACCGGGGACCCTTCAGTCCGCAGGCCGACGCTCTATCCACTGAGCCAAACCGGTTTCGGCCAGAATTTCTTTTTATATCCCTTTGTGGACCCTCTTCAGTAGGAGAGCCTGATGTTTTGAGGACAGGCTTGGCCCTGCCTGGGGGCCCTGTCGCAGCCCCAGGGCACACGATGGCCATGATGGCCATGGTCTTCGCTTCAGCTACACAGACTTCGTGGGATCTTTAGTCTGGATTCCTGACCGCGCAATGACGAGGCTGTGCCCTTCATCTGCATCAGGAGAAGAACTGTAATCCAGTCTAGGGCTAGCCTAGGAGTCTCTCCTTTGCTGACCCGCAGGCCTCTTGATCAGAACCCAGTTTGAGAAAACAGCACCTGATGGAGTCCGTCCGTCCGTCCGTCCGTTTCCCGGTTATCTGCAATGGACGCTCGTGTCCCTGGGCCATGTTTTTGGTGCTTTTCTGGGAAACGCTTTCACTCAGTTTTATCTCGGGATTTCCCTTTTTAGGTTGAGAGGGACAATCAGAAATCGCCCTGTGAAGCCCAGTGCTGTTTACGTGGGAGGATATTTTGAGGACCTTGTTTTTTTTACACTAGATCAGTGGTTCTCAACCTTCCTGATGCCGCGACCCTTTCATACAGTTCCTCATGTGGGGGAGACCCCCAACCATAACATTATTTCCGTGGCTACTTCATCACTGTCATGTTGCTACTGTTATGAATCGTCATGTAAATACCTGATATGCAGGATGTATTTTCATTGTTTCAAATTGACCATAATGAAAGCGTAGTGATGAGTCACAAAAATAATATGTAATTATATATGTGTTTTCCGATGATCTTAGGCGACCCCTGTGAAAGGGTCGTTTGACCCCCAAAGGGGTCGCGACCCACAGGTTGAGAACCGCTGCACTAGAAGATGTCTTGTAAAGATCCATGATAAAAATTTCAGACTTTTGTCGCAGGAAGAATTATATTCCTTGTGAGCAACTTTTTTTTTTCTTTTTTTAATACTTGTGGGTGCTGTAGCTATTGAAACCTATAGTGTTTCCTTATTTGCATTGCTTCCTGAAAGCTCATGCTAAATGCATGGCCCATCTTCAGAGACGCACAGCCTTTTACTCCGGCTTCCTTTTATCTTTATTGGAGGCAGCGATTTCCAACCTTTCTCATTTCATGGCACCTATAAACTAATTACTAGAATTCTGCGGTCTGATTTTCCTTCACACTGGACACCTACTGTACTGGCGATTATTATTAATATTATTATTATTATTTTTAGTTTTAAGGGAGGGGGAGAGACAGAGAGAATCATTGATGTGAGAGAGAGACATTGATTGTTTGCCTCCCACACATGCTCCAACAAGGGTCAGGGATTGAGCCTGCAACCCAGGTACTTGCCCTTGACCGGAATCGAACCCGGGACCCCTCAGGGGGCCAACGCTCTATCCACTGAGCCAAACTGACCAGGGATGCTGTCATTTTTTTATTTGATAATCTAAGGGAAAAAATGATCAGTGCCCTTGACTAAAATAGTCAGGTATTGGATGTTTTGTTTTAATTAAATTTATTGAGGTAACATTGGTTAATAAAATGATACAGGTTTCAGGTATACAATTCTATAATACTTCATCTGTCTATTGTGTGGGTATTATTGCATGTTTTAAAAATCCTAGTTGAAAGTCACTGATTTAAGGTAACATCGTTTTGGAGTTAAGAATGCAGGCTGTGGGGTCAGACAGCTTGGCTCCGTCATTTTGTGTTCAAACCGGGCAAGCTGTTTAATCTCTATGAACCTCAGTTTCCCCATCTGCGAAATGGAGTTAATAGTACCCTGCGAAGGTTGTGAAGATTACCTATGGCTAATAGGTTGAAGCGCCTATACGAGTTGCTGACACATCTTGAATACTCCATAGGTTTTTATATTTTCATGTTCTCTGTTTTCCTTTGTCTACTTTAAAAGTAATTGATTTCGTATTATTCATAATATTTTACTTATTGCAATCAGCCTGAAATATTTCTTGGAACCAAGCAGACGAAGCATACATCAGTGTTGGTTTCTTAGCACATGGCATTTTACATAAAATGCAGCAATTAAAAACATTCACAATTGCTTCCCCATAACTGTGTTTAAATTTACAGAGATTTTGACATTAGACATAGATGGAAGATGTACTTTTAGTCCACGTAACTTTCATTCTCTTTCCTTTCGCCTCAAACACACATCACCAAACACATTTTCTGTATTCTTTGTGTAGGTGTGACTGGTTTTCTTAAAGACATTTTTTTTTTTTTTTATTGCAGCCTCTTAGGTTAAAAGTTTCATTATCATTTGAAATCTGTCACAAGACCAGGGAAGTGTGTTCATTATACAACCATTTAATAAATAAGTCCCCCAGTTGGAAGAGCTGGGCTTTTATGTAAGGTCAGGCCCATTGAAGACATCGACAAAGAATTAGTTGTTTGTTATTGCTGTGTGATCTCCAAGAATGGAAAAAAAAAAGACATTCTTTCTTCAATACTTCCTTCCAGGCTGAGTCATCACTAGAGAGTGGGAAGGGCAGCAGCAGCAGATAAAAACCCCAAAGCTGATATCACAAACTCCCATTTCTCCACGTTGGGGGCTAGCGGGGAGCCACCATGAGCGATGTGACCATTGTGAAAGAAGGTTGGGTTCAGAAGAGGGGTAAGTGTTCAACAGAACCACAGCCATGTGGTTGGTAAGTGTGCTGACCCTTAGTGGTGTCTTGGAAGTTGATTTTTTTTTTCTGATGCTGTTAACAAAGTAAACGGTGATGTACTGTGTCCAGTAAGAGAGAAATGATATTTAGCATATGTGTTAGGAATTTGCTTATTATTCAAGGGTTCTTTATAATTCTTTTTAAAAAAATATATATATATATTGATTTCAGAGAGGAAGGTAAAGAAGAGAGAGAGAGAGAGAGAGAGAGAGAGAGAGAGAGAGAGAGAGAGAGAGAAACATCAATGATGAGAGAGAATCATTGATCGGCTGCCTCTTGCACGCCCCACACTGGGGATCCAGCCCGCAACCTGGGAATCAAACCTGGACCTCCTGGTTCATAGATTGATGCTCAACCACTGAGCCATGCCAGCCGGACTGTAATTCTTGATTTTGATAATTTATAATCAAGTTTGGCTTTCTGGTATGTTGCGTGCATGTATGTTACAGAAAATTGGTGTCGTGTTTTCTGTGTTGCCTGCTGGACTCTACAAATACAGAGAGAAATCTTTAGAATGATTTCATATCAAAAAAGTGTCTAACTTGTATGCATTTTAAGACATGTAAACATAAATCAAATTATTCAGTTATATTAAGCCAATTTGGGTGGTGGTAGGGGAAGGGATTAAAGCAGTAAAGTGGGGGGAGGGTTCACCCACAAACTCTTGGATTCACAATCTCATGAGAAGGTAAGTAAAGTCCTGATGAAAAGACCACATGAGGAAAGAGTGTGTGTGTGTGTTTATGTTTAATTTTATGCTTTGTTTTTCATGATTTTTTAGTATTTCTTGTTTATTCTCACTTTAGATAAATAATTCAAATGCATTATCGTGCTTTTTAATATTAAAGGAAGCACTCTTCAGTGTAAAACATTTTATCCACTATGAGGTCACCTGCTAATGTGGTCAATGTGTTTATTAGAATTCTGGAGTTTGGGCTAGTTGCTAGGCAACCACTGCTTATCCACGTGGCCAAATGGAGTAGGATGCGGCCTCTTTCAGTCTCAGGACTTTTAAGTTATTGGTGTCATTTTCTGGTTAAACATCGCCTTTTAAGGTGTGATTTTCATATTCTTTTAGGGTCTGTGGTTCATACCTGTGCTGAAAGCTGTTGACAATGGTTAAATGTGATTATGCGTTTTTGAGCTTTTGAAAATCAGCTTTATTGAGTTATTTACATACAGTAAAATATACCCATTTTAAGTGTGCCCTTCATGAATTTTGCTAAACTTTTAAAGGAGTGTAACAAACACTATAATCATGACATAGAACATTTCTATCACCCAGAAAAGTTCCTGCCTTCCCTTGGTAACCACTGCTCTGCTGTGCCTATAATTTTGCAATTTCATATGATTAGAATCATACGCCATGCAGTCCTTTGAGTTTGACTACTTTCACCTTTCACATTGCATAATACTTTTTTTTTTTTCACATCCAAATGCTTTATTGTTCTGCTGAGATGCTTACAAATACTGAAAGTCACCCAGCCTGGACCCCGCACCCACAGCCCAGGGCCGGAAGGGGGCAGGGAGGTGGGCTGAGTGGTAAGGTAGAAAGACTATGGCCAGGCTGTGGGGGCCTCATCCCCTGCTCCCTGTTCATCACCCTCGGAGGCTGAGCCGCAGGGCCCTCCCTTCTCTGTGCTCCCCGTACCCCGAGGAAGGCCCTTCTGGCTTTCTCCTCCTCGGACCTAGATACCCTGCCTTCACCCCCTCTGGCTGTAAGCAAGGCACATGTGGTAGGGAGAGGGCTGGCCAGGGGCCAGCAGGCTCTGCATCAGGGCCTGGAGACGGGCTCGGGGAGGAGGTGTTCGGACCCTTTCCCCAGCATGAGGTCCCTGAGGGCCTGGGCTGCAGAGATGATGGCACATACCCTGAGCTAGGGAGCCATGCAATGAGTATGTAACCATGGCAATGAAGCGGTTCCTCTGGTGACCATGGTGATGGGTCTGTAAAAAGGGGATGGGGCTGAGACCCCCAAGGATAAAACTTGAGGTCTCCGGCCCTTGAGCAAAGTAATGAAAATATAAACACGGGAGGATAATGGGGTGAGAGCAGGGTTTGAGAAGTGTGCTGCCTGAGCTCGTAGGATTCATTTATATAGTGTGTTTTTATTAGTCTGTTCCTTTTCATTGTTGAGTACTATTCCATCCACAGTTTGTGCTTGCCAGTTGCTGGGCATTTGGGCTGTTTCCTGTTTTGGGCTATTATGAGTAAAGGTGCTGTGAACATGTGGGTGCATGTGTTTGTGTGATGTATTTTTCTTGGGCTATAACCTAGGAATGAGATTGCTGGGACCTATGGTAAGTTTATATTTAACTTTATCAAAACAGCCAAACTGTTTTCAAAGCGGCGGACTATTTGTGTTCAGTTTAATACCTTTTATGTTATTCTCATTTTAGAGATTTGGAAAGCTTTTTCAGATTTCTCTGCTGTGTGAAGGAAGGTATTTTTAAATAAGATCATGGATGTGAGTGAGCTTTGGCAATTTTAACATAAATGTAAGCTGTTGCTATTGCCACCTTTTATCAAGGATTTAGAGTGCTTGTTGAGTCTGTTTAATTAATTGTGTCTCCTCTGTAATACCATTATAGAAGGTTGGTATATAGTACATGGAATATAGAAAAAGGAAAAAAAAATAAAATAGAATTTCTCGGTGTTTTTCCTGCATTGGTTAGGGAACGAGAATTCTAGTGATTTGTGTGTGCATGTGCTTGTGTGTGCGCGTGCGTGTGCATGTGTGTGTATGCGTGTGTGTGTGCGCGTGTGTGTGCATGCATTAATTTTGGGAAGTAATAGTCTAATAAACATAAGACTGAATAATACCAAAGGTATAAAATGCAAAGTAAAACTCTTTCTACACTCTACCTCTTCCAACTAGTTCCTATCCTCAGAGATAACCATTTTAGACCTTTTCTAGTTTTTTAAAAATGTATTTTTATTTATTTCAGAGAGGAAAGGAGAGGGAGAAACAGATAGAAACATCCTTGATAAGAGAGAATCATTGATTGGCTTCCTCCTGCACGCCCCACACTGGGGATCGAGCCCACAACCCGGGCCTGTGTCCTGTCTGGGAATCGAACCGTGACCTCCTGGTTCATAGGTCAGTGCTCAACCCCTGAGCCACGCCGGCCGGGCAGACCTTTTCTCTTTTTAATTCTGCTGATTACCCCAATTTTATATATAATATGCTAAACTTTATTTTTGATGAATCTTAAGTAATCTAGTATATCCCCATTGTGGAAAAAATGAGCAGTTTTACTTTTAATACTTATTCTCTTCATTTTTTTTTCTTTTTTGGGGGGCATTTATAGTTAAACTTTTTGCATCATTCTATAAATTATTTAGACATAATCTTGCCACTTCATGAGTTAATAAAAATTAGTACCCCTTACAGTCTTTCCCTTGAATTCCTCACATTTCTTCTCCAATTTGTTAACTGTAACATTTATTTTATATCATCAAGGTTTAATAGTTATACTTGATTCCAAAAAGCAGTAATCACTATTATGCTATGTAAACAATATTAACTGTAAACAAAGTAGTAGGATGCATGTGATGGGAGAGCAGATGAGTTTCTTACATGCTGTTTCTACTCAAGTTCATGTCATACTTTAGTTTGGCTTCTAGTTTGGGTAGAACTGTTTTTTTCCTGGATTTTCTAATTGCCACATTTCCCCTCTATTGGGAGAAGACTGTATATGCCTTCATAATATCACTTGGTTTTCCAGTTTTGAAATCATACTATTTGTTGAAGTTCTAATATGAATTGCCTTTTTATATGGGTATGATTTATTTTGCAGTTTTCTAGAGCACTTCCTGAAGTAATTTTCTCAGAAAGGGTGTGTGTGTGTGTGTGTGTGCTTGTCCACACTGTGTTTGAAAATGTCCTTTTGACGTTCACACTTGGTACATACCTTGGCTGGGTATAGAATTCAGGCTTCAAATAGTTTTCCTTCAGAATTTTGAAGGTTGAATTCCATTACATTTCAGTAACCAGTTTACTGGTAAGAGGCTTGCCACTAACATGAAGAATTTTTTGTAGGTAACCTGCTTTGTTCTCTGGAAGCTTTTTGTGTAGGGGCCTCTGTACCGTGGGATTATGAAATTGAAGGAGGGTGAGCTATAGTCCTTGTTTGCTCATTCTGTAATTCATTCAAACGGTGGACCCTTTGAAAATGCAGACTTTTATGTCTTTCTTCAGTTTTGGGAAATCTTCCTAGATTTCTTTTATTATTTTTTTCCCTTCTGTGTTCTCTGTATTCTTTTATGTTTTTTGTTTTTTAATTTCTCTTACAGCTTCTCTAGCAATGCACTATTTTAAATTTTTTCTTTCATTTTGCCATGCGTCTATTTTTTTCTCTTTGTTCCTTGACCTTTTATTCTAGCCCTTCATTGAATTTTATATTTCAGTTATTACTTTATATTCCCAGGACTTCTTTCTTTATAGGTTATGACCATCTGCTCTTATTTTACTTAACATTAGTATCTTATTCTTAGGACACTAAATACATTTTATTTTGAAGTTTATTCTCCTCTTTGAATAATTCCTTCAATTGGCTTATTTTGTTGTGGGGTGTTTTTTTCAGTAGTGGTAGTTTTCTTTAGTTATCTAGTGATCCCTGTTTATCTGGGTATATTTGTGAATGAAAGACTGGGATTGCTGGTAACGTCCTCTGTCTATTTTTATAATTTATGTGTTTCTCCTGGACTTACAACAAGTCAGACTCCCTGAAAGAAGCTTTGTATGGTAGTGTTTCATTGTACTCCTGAAAGCACTAGTTGAAATGTTAAGGGAAACCAAATTGGGCCATTTTTCCCTCCACCATTCTTATTTTATTCCTTTAGAAATTTCACTATAACTTTAATAATAATTTCGTGTAAATTTCACTATATAATCTGTTGGTGTTTGGCTATATTTTGGTTCAGAGGATTTCTTTCAGAAGAG